GTCTTCTTTCAAAGAAATAAAAGCGCGCAGCGCACATTGTGTTTAACAGTGGGAGTCATTGCATACAAGGCGATGTATACGTGGCTAAATGGCGGTGACTGAATGCTGTACGTGAATTTTTGTAATCTCGGTTTGACAACTTGTACTCGATGGCTTGTCATGACTTCGTCAGCACTTGAATAATCAACGTTTCAAAGAGCGACACAGTTTCGCTGGAACAGGGGCCACCACCTCCTATGAATGTGTATGTACGAAGGTCTGTGCTGACAAGAGGGTTTGCTCTATCCAGTGAATGGGAGCGAATTGCGTACCAGACGTTCCTTTCACAAAGGAGTGCAATGCATCCTTCATGTTTTATTTCACGGCACTCTAATTTAACATTAACAAGCTATCACTAGGTATTACATGCACACAATACAGGTTAAATGCAGAAAAAAGACAGAACTAAGACTTTCCATTAAGATATCATTAAGTATCATACAACTCCTTAATAGGAGATCTTTTTTTTCGCTGAATGATAGTATTAGCGGTGTCGCCTCAGTAACAATCACGATCGATGCAACTGATCGTAATTGATTGTTATCGCTGCACCGATAACGATCGATGCCGCGATAGTAAATAACATGTGTCATTTCGTGGTTCGAAAAGCCTCGCACGGTGTTTTTCATACAAGGCGTCCGTGCATCGAGCGTGAGACAAGCGCTTACGCAACGCGCACGTCAACGAGGCACAGAATTACTCACACACCCACCGGATGACCACAATTCGATTTACAATGCGTGCATAGAACATTGCGTATTCTCCCCACCAGCTGGTTGTTTACTTTCGTACTGTGTCGCGTAGCACGTTCTGTTGGACGCTTTTACATGCTTAGCATGCTAGCGGCTAGTCATGCGCCGTCGCCATCCGCAGCCTCCCCTCCACCTCCGCAGCCATCGGTACACTCTTCCTCCTCTCAACAAAGCGCGCGCCGCGCGACCTTTATTTCACTTGTGCCAGCTGTATGATAACGCGCGCATGCGCAACCTATCGCGTGCCACCGTGGAGAAGTACGTCTACGAAGCCATGAATAATACCTGAAACAACGACCACAACGACGACCTTTCGTGATAATTGGCGACTTCAACGTCGACGTCATCAAGGACGATTGGGTGGTCGACTACATGGAGTCGCGGCACTCGCTGAAACGAGCAACCCACGATGCCAAACGTCATCCGACCACGGTTCGCGGGACGGGCATCGACTGTAACAGACCGGATTATCTGCTATCAGCATTCGCCCAAGGCGATATTGTCTCCTCCTCCTCTCCACCGTTTTGTGCGCTTTAGTTTCCTTCCTTTTGCTTTCTTTCCCCCTTCCCCGCTGTGAGCGCGGCTACTTAAGCCCAGCAAATAAACGGCCACGGGTCTTTTATCATGGCGAGGCCCAGCCAAGTGTGCATCGTCGTCTTGTTTCTGAGTTAAACGTTACACGGTGTCAGAAGTGGTCCTGACGTTCGAAAAGGACCTAGTCAAGCCCCCGGAACCGCTGCAATTGTCCGGCAACATCAGGAAAAACTGGCTGGTATTCAAGCAGAAGCTGCAGCTTTTCATCACCGCTACGGAACCGGAGAAGCCCCGCCCGTCGGCCGTAAAAGCGGCGATTCTTCTGAGCACCGCGGGGGACGAGGCACTCGATGTCTACAACAACTTCTCGTTTGCCGCAGGTGAGAGCAGAAAAGATTATGACACGTTAGTGCGCAAGTTTGAAGAATATTTTGTCGACCAGGGTAATGAAGTCTACGAAAGGCACATTTTTCGACTGCGAGCACAGGAAGATACCGAGCCTTTTGAGCGGTTCCTATGGGACTTAAAAAAGCAAGCAAAGCTGTGCAACTTCGGAACGCTTGAACAGTCCATGATCAGGGATCAAGTGGTGTTTGGGACAAATAATGCGAAACTTCGAGAAAAGTTGCTGAGTGACAAAGACTTAAACTTGCAGAAAGCAGAAGAAATTTGCAAAGCCGCTGAGCTTGCTGCCATTCAGAGCGCAGCATGGTCAAATGAAAGCCTGCACGTTCACTTTACACGCCGCACACACCGCACGAAGTTTGCGAATGGAACTCTGTGTCGAAATTGTAACAAGGTACATGCCCCCGAGCGGTGCCCGGCGTATGGAAAAACTTGTTATACATGCAAAAAACGAAGTCACTTCACCGCATGCTGCAACAATGCGCGCAAGATAAGCGAGGTTCACAGAGTCGAAGAAAGCGATGAAAATTTTGGCATCTTGGGCATCCCATTTGCGGTGTCACCGGAGACATAGGAGCGGATTGGATGGTTCGCGGAAAAATAGCCGGTCAGGAGATACAATTCAAGGTAGATACCGGGTCTCAGGCGAATTTGCTTGCCCCTAACCCTGTTCAACCGAATCGCCCACGCAAGCACTCCGCGAAAGAGCGCCGCTGTCCTCACCGCATACAACGGCAGTGCAATCAAAACACGTCGGCGTGGCGACCGAAGACCTCGAGATAAGCGAAGCACAGCATTCAATGTCGTTCTTTATTGTGAAAAAGGGGCGCCAAGCCATCCTTGGCTTAAAGACATGCCGAGCAGTTTGGTCTGGTACCAGTGACGACGGACGCCGTGAATGTAGGCGATGAGCAAACGAAATTTCAGCTTGCATTTCCTGACCTCTTCAGCGGCACCGGCTGCGTCAAGCGACCCTACAAAATGGTGCTACGAAAGGATGCCGTTACAGTCGTGCAGCCTGCCCGCAGAGTACCCATAGCGTTGAAAGGACGCCTGCGACAAGAACTGCAACGAATGAAAAGGCCTCAATCATCGTCAAGGTGGATGAACCAACTGACTGGGTGAGCCCCCTGGTAGTTGTGCACAAGAACGATGGTACCCTTCGCATTTGCATGGACCCTAGAGCAGTGAACAGGAGCATTAAGCGGGAGCACTATCCTATGCCTTCACCAGAAGACATAGAGAGCGAGCTGGCAGGAGCACAATACATCTCCCGGCTCGACGCTAATGCCGGCTTTCATCAGATTCCTTTAGATGAGGCCACTTCACGAATATGCACTTTTGCGACACCATTTGGGCGGTACCGTTTTTTGCGTCTGGCTTTCGGAATTTCCTCAGCCAGCGAGGTGTTCCAGAAGACTCTAACAGAGATGTTCGAAGGGCTGCCGGGAGTGCGCGTCTACGTAGACGACGTTTTAATATGGGGCGACTCAAAGGAAGAACACGACGAACGCGTCATTGCAGTGCTAAGGCGGGCGCTAGAGGAAGGGCTGACATTTAATCCAGCTAAATGCCTGTCCTGCACCACGCAGGTTGCATTCCTTGGCGATGTTATCAGTAGAGACGGAATTCGTCCTAGTCCCGATTTAATCGAAAGCGTCCGTGCCATGCCAGCCCCAAAAGATAAACAGGGTGTGCGCAGATTACTCGGGGTTGTGAACTACTTTCGGAAATACCTGCCAGCTTTGAACGACAAAACGGCGTTGCTGCGTAGCCTGGTGAAAGAAGCATCGGTGTTTGAGTGGACAACAGCCCATGAGCACGAATGGGACCAGATCTGCGCAGCGCTCGCTAAGCCTCCGTTGCTGGCTCTTTTTGATGAAAAAAGAAACACTAAGATAACTGCGGACGCCTCAGGAACAGGTATCGGCGCTGCCTTATTGCAAAGACACGGGGATGACTGGCGCCCAGTGATCTACGCCTCAAGAGCACTGACGCCGAGTGAAGAGCGATACGCCCAGATAGAAAAGGAAACACTGGCAATTGTTCTCGCTTGTGAAAAATTTCATCAGTTCGTGTATGGACGAAGCATTACGATAGAAACTGATCACAGGCCATTACTTGCGATTGCTGAAAAGAACATTGCAGATATGCCACCAAGGCTACAGCGGTTTTTCATCCGTCTTAAGAAATATGATGTTTTTGTTGCAGTTTGTACCTGGAAGGGACCTGTTACTCGCAGACCTGCTGTCTTGTGCCACACTACCAACTGGCGGAGGCGACCAAGTCGAGGACGTGGACGTCCGCACAACGCAAGTAGTCTCCAGCATCATAAGCAAAGCGACTATGTTGCAGCTGCAGAAGGAAACCCTCGAAGATCCGCTTCTCAGCCGCACCATGAAACAACTGGAAGATGGCATGGCAATAGACGGCGTACTGAAACCGTATGCAGGAGGAAGCTATCCGTGGTCAATGGAGTGCTGCTAAAGGGTTGCAAAAGTTGTGGTGCCTAAATCAATGCGTGCGGAAATTCTTGAGCGAATTCACGAAGGCCACTTGGGTATAAAACAAGTGCAAAGCTAGAGCCCGTAGACTGGTTTTCTGGCCGGGAATGAGCAGTGGACATTGAGCAACGAGCGCGAACGTGCAGCGTATGTCGAAAGTACGCATACAGTCAACCGAGTGAACCCCTCCTGCTACAGCCAACGCCACGCCCGACCCGTGGCATCGCTTAGGCATAGACCTATTTACATTCGCTGGAGAACACTACGTAGTTGTGTTGATGCCCATTCGAACTTTCCTGACGTCGAGAAACTCAGAGGTACCACGGCGGTGGAAGTAATCGACAAGATATCTGCTATCTTCTCGCGATACGGCATTCCCAACCAAGTTTGTACCGACAACGGGCCTCAATTTGCATCGCGAGAGTTCGCGTCCTTCGTGCGCCGATATGACTTCGAGAATATCACCTCGAGTCCAGAGCTCCCACGGTCAAATGGCTTAGCTGAAAAGGGGGTACAGATCGTGAAGCGTATTCTAAAGAAAACCCATGAGTCCCGGGGTGATGTATGGCTTGGTCTGTTGACTTATCGATCTTCTTCCCCTTGACAGCGGTCACTCACCCGGAGAACTACTGCAAAGGTCACCGTCTGCACGCCACTCTTCCAGAATACAACGTCGACGAGGCATACCCGTATGGAAACAGCGACAGTCTTCCCGAGGCAGGCCACTACCACCCCTTGTAAGCCGGAAATGTGGTCCGGATCAAACATGGAAGCTGGTCACGCCGAGCGAAAGTGGTACAGAGGACTGCACCACGATCATACGTGGTTAAAGACGGAAGACCATGGACTCCTGAGACGGAACCGACAGAATTTGCTGCGAACGGACGAAAACTTCGACGACAAGATCAGCCCCGAGGGTAATCCGAACCCCGACGCGAGGCCCCCGACGAAGTTCAGTGATGAACACCACGGCAACATCACGCCGGACAGCTCACTGGGAAGTCACCAGGTGCAACCAGCTCAGCCAGAGGAAGATTATAGCACCACCATTTCTCCAGACACTCCAGGAAGCGCACTGGCTGGCCTGCGCAGGTCAGGACGCCAGCGCAGCGAACCGAAGCGCCTTCACTATGGGCCATCCTTCCATCAAGTAAATGAGTGCAAAAGAAATCAGTGTTTTGAAAGTGTGTTAAGAGATGTAACAGACCAGACTATCTGCTATCCAGCATTCGCCCTAGGCGATATTGTCTCCTCCTCCTCTCCATCGTTTTTGTGCGCTTTACTTTCCTTCTTTTGCTTTCTTTCCCCCTTCCCCGCTGTGAGCGCGGCTAACTTAAGCCCAGCAAATAAACGGCCAGGGTCTTTCGTCATGGCGAAGGTCCAGCCAAGTGTTTCATCGTCGTCTTGTTTCTGAGGTAAACGTTACATCGACCACGGCTTTGCCAATTTCGACCTTGGACCGCTGCAACCAGACCCACTCACCCTTCACTTTACGGACCATAAAGCCATCTTGCTCAAATACCCAAAGCGTCTCGTCAATAAAGATCGTCTTTCGCAGCATACGTGCGTGCGTGTTCACTCGTGTCACTCATACCACACATGCATGTCGCAAATTACAAACCACATTTATCGCAGTTCAACATACTAGCTCTGCATGCTAACCAGTGTTCCACTCGGGAACTGCGGTCATTTTTTTCCACGCCTTGTGCGCACGCGCAACACTCATATGGGCGCACAGCCCAACGCCGACTAAATTTCAAGGCCGAAGGGCTGCCACAGTGACGTGAGAGGTTGGGGGCCCAGTTGCCCAACTGAGCATGCTCAGTAAGACTTTTTTTTTCCACATCTTTTATTCGGCCCAATCTAGCCGCAGCAGCTGCGACAGCGGGAGCGTTGTTCTCCTAAAACGTGAACGAAACACAGGCTTTGCGCCGCATTCGCGGCGTAGTTCGCACTTAAAACATCCGCTTTCTACAGCGACACTGAAATTCCCGTGCCGCAGAAACGCAGCGTCGTTCGCACTGGACGCGCCCCGCGCCGCCGACATATGCCATCTACTACGGGGCGAACGCGGGATGAATGCGCTGTCACACGGTTGTTTTCGCGGCTCGCAAAGCACCACTACGCTATCCGGTGGTGTATACTTCGACGATATTGTACGCAAGAAGCAAGATAAGACAGTACTACTTACTTTGCTGACAAGTGGCTGTCTTTTAATGCACGAAGAGCAGAAAACCGCCGATGCCAGCGGCGTTGGTGGGTTCGTTTTGCTCTGCAAGACCGCAAAAAGCTCGGTCACCTCTTCCACGAAATACGGACGCGAAGTAGGCACAGAGTAGGTTAAGCTCCCGTTGGTTTTCAACATTCCAGTTACGTGCACTGCGGCATAACAAGGGAGTAGGGCTTGGCCGTCATTTTTCAAAATTTTCTTGACTAGAGTGGTCCGCAGTGACCGATTCGGCGGCAGACGCCGCAAAAAATCGGTCCCAGAGCGATTGGTGCGGAGAGGGCCCTTTCGGCGGAACTCGCCGCCGCCGAACCGGATTCGGAGCACTTTCGGCGGCCGGAATGCTCAGTGTGAACGCTGCCTTAAGGTCGCCGTGCCGTGCCACGTCGCGTCTCGCTGTGCGCGTCCGCCTCCACATGGCGTGGTCAAAATGGGCATAGAAATGGGCATAGAAATGGGTTTTAATGACTGCGCCCCCCACCCCTCTGACGTCACTGCGGCAGCCCTTCGGCTTTGAAATTTAGTCGGCGTTTGGCGCAGCACAGCGCATATCGCAGAAGCAAATCACAAAATTCCCACGTTGCGACACTCAAGTAGCACACTCGCACACGCACATGTGGCAACGCTGATGCCATTGTTTTGCGGGTTATAAATCACAGATGCTTACATCCCCCTCCTCCCCCCCCCAAAAAAAAAAACAGACGCGCGCAATTCTGACTTCAATTTCACCTAACTTGCACATGAATGACCGCGACGACAATCGTCGAGAGTGGTCACCTTCAGGCGATGAGCTTGGTGCATCCGAGCGACTGATGAAGTATACACGCAGAGTCGCTGCTTCACGCTGCCGAAATGACCGAACGCGATGCAGCTCTGCCACTTCGGTGCACTTCAAACACTGCAAGATCAGAAACGTTACCATCGAATGACGGCCAGCGAGGATGACGCTGAGTGCGAGTCGATGAAATAGCTTCTTGACGAAGAAAAACTGGCAGATCCCACGTACAGTGGGAATCAATGATATGCGAAGCACGAATGGGAAATGTGGATATTTCACTTTAATATCAGCACAAGGTACGAGGTGGAGGTAAATGGTGCCTTACATGACTTCCGTGGCATGCATATCATGTTTGAATGTGTCCGTTACCTTCGTCATCTATTCAAGTCACGTGATACCAAATTTATTGTATCTGTGGAGCTAGCGAGACGGCCGCGAGCAAGCTGTGAGACGTGGAATGCTGTCATGTTCTTAACATGACACCGTGTGAGGATTATCATGTTTCCACCAGTTATATATTTCGTCATCCATTGACGTCACTTAACCCCGAATTTGGTATATTAGGAGCTAGCAAACGGCCGTGAGCGCATCATGAGGGGCCCAATATACTCCAATGTAGCGTTGACGCACGGGCACGCTGGGCACAGCGACGCTGCTTTAGCAAAACGCGGACACTCTGTAGTCTGACGTTAGGCGCAACCAGCGTCCGCCGGCGGGAAATGCGACATGCTGCATTTCACGCTGATGCGTTACCCAGACAACACTCTGCATCCCTCTTTTCGTAACGGAGGGACGCCGAACGCGCCGGAACGCACATTCGTAAGCAACGCAGTGCGGCGCGCGTCTGCGAGTATATGGCAGGACCGGCGCATGGCGTGGCAACGCCGGTGTGACGCGACGAAATGAACGCCGGCAAACACGCGCACCGCGTCACGTCGAAACGTATTGGCGCCTTGACTGCGGCATGTAGTCATGATCTCTCATGACAAGCATCTCATGATTATCATGTTTGCACCAGTCACATACCTTCGTAATCCATTGGTGTCAAGTAATACCAAATTTGGCATATGTGAAGTTAGTGAAACATCCGCGAGCGCATCATCAGAGTGGCATGTAGTCATGTTGTTACATGACACGCATGTCGTGGTTATCACGTTTCGATATGTCATTTACCTATGTCGTCCGTTCGCGTCGCATAATATTGAGTTTGGTACATGTGAAGCTAGCGAAACGGCCGCTAGAGCGCATCAGGAGCGTAGCATGTAGCCATGTTGTTACATTACACGTATCTCATGTTTATCATGTTTGCACCAAAAACATACCTTCGTCATCCATTCACTTCCCGTAAAACCAAATTGGGTATAATGTGAAGCTAGCGGAAACGGCCCCAGTGCGTCATTAGCATGGCATGTGGTCATGTTGTTACATGACAACGCAATGTCATGATTATCATGTTTGCATAGTCACATAACTTCGTCACATTCACGTACTTAAATACCAAATTTGGTATATGTGACGCTAGAGGAAACGGCCGCGAGCTCATCATGAGTGTGGCTGTTAGTCATGTTGTACATGACCGTCATGCATTTCATGTGAGTGTCTGTCTCTTGTGTTCGTCATGCAGTCATGCCATACCTATACCGGTTTTGCCACATGCCATGTGACCGAAACCTCCGTAAGAGCTGCAGGAACATGAAATGTAAATCATGACATTCATGACATACATGTCATGACATTTCATGTTACGGCAAGTCGAATATGTTCTTGCATACAGTCATGTTACGCCATGCCTAGTTTGGTATCGATGCGATAATCGAAACGGCCAGGGGAGCTAAAGTCGTAGGTGGCGAGATAGATAGATAGAAAGATAGATACGCTCAAAGTCGCCGAAGCGCGCTAAGAAAGGCTTCGCATTTAAATTATTAGTATAAATTTGCAGTGTAGTAAGGTTGAGTTGTCCATGTTATTTATTATTATCCGGTTTTCGACGAACCAGATCGACGGGACGCACATCGTTGCGCTGAGTGCAAACTTGAAATGTCTAGCTCATGTGCGGCAGCATCCTCAGCTAGGAGCTTGCAGCTATTTATAAGCCATTAGTAGACTTATTCTACTTCCGGCTTTGATATTGCAAAGTCTCAAATAAAGGTCATACGCAGCTTTGCAAACGATTTGCCAATCGTTGCAAAAAAATTATATTGATTGATAATTCGACACGTGGGGTTAACAAAATTCACAGCGCAGCGGTGACACTTTTATAAGCTGTTTAGAATAGGATACGGAGGCGGTCGTGCAGTCCGTTTCATCATGAGCAGTGCTAATCGGTCGACAATGAAGTAGTCATTCTCGGGACGGCTTTGCGCTCTCCATAGTAGAGTACCCTGTGCTCTATATCGTTACCCCTTTTTCTAAACCCCCCCCCCCCCCCCGCCCATCCATTCGTTCTCGGGACGGCTTTGCGCTCTCCCATAGTAGAATACCAAGTACTCTAAATCGTTGGCCCTTTCATAGAGAGAGAAGAAGACAATAGCGGACACTCCGCGAAACCTGGCCTCAGGAAGTGCGTCACGACTACGTAACAAAACTAGTGCTCTCACCAAACGTCAGAGAGCGCAAGCGCAAAAAAAAAAAGTTATAATCAATGCAACAAAATTGTTTTTACAAAATAATAATTATACGCCCAAATTTGGTATGTTCTTTATACATAAAAACAATTTATTCAACACACCTTACGCGATTATTTTTCTTCAGCCGTACTGTCATAAACACCATCTAACCAGCGACAAGCCCATGCATGACTGACAGCGAGAAGCTTTCGTCGCTTTCGTCAACGTCGGCTGCGTCGGCGTTTTCGTGCGTGAGATAACAGGTGAGGCACGTTTTCAAGCGAAGCTTGTTGAATGACATGTTGTTGGTCTTGTTGGGTTCATTTTTTCAGAAAACGGTTACACTTGCGCGAATAAGACACCATGCAACAAACATAGAAAGATGCACACACACACGTTGCGCTTCGAGTGTGCGAGTTTGTTCTTACGTGGCGTCTCATTCACGCAGTTGTAACCTTTTTCTGAAACTTGTAAGGACTGGAGGTTCGCTAAAAAAGAAAGTTTGTGGCTCTATGCGGCGGCTAGACGGGAACATTGTGCAAAGTATGCCGTATAGCAAGGCGGCACGGCGTCAAGCGAGGCGACGCGTGCTGCGTCTGTGCGCTGAGCGTAGCTGGGCAGCTAGGTCATAGGCTCGGTGCAAAATATTGAGAAGCATTCGCTGGGCCTCGCATGCTTCACGACGCGTTTCCCGAAGGCTCGGAACACGAATAATTCTTGGTGTGCCGGAGGCAAATCTGGACTAGCCAAGTGGCCATCATCTTCGTTTTTAGATGCGGAGCATCTTATACTCGCGCCTTGTAGTGCGCCGTCCGCACCGCTTCTCGAACATTCGACAGCTGACGCGCGCGCATGCGCCGTCGCGCCGTCGCCCACTCTTCCACCATCTGTGCATCCCTTCCTCCTCTACACACCGCGCGCGCTTCACTCCTCCACCATCTGTGCACCTTCCTCCTCTACACACGCGTTCGACATCTACAATTTATCCTGATTCTCCAGTGGACGCGCATGTGGTGTCGCGCAGTATATATACTCAAGGTCGGCGCTCGCTCGCTCAGTTGCCGCTCGTCGGTTGGTTTGTACGGCGCGTCGACGTCCAAGGTCGCGGTGAAATGAATTCCAACGAATCCACAAACACAATGATCGACGTCCCTTCGACCAGCGCCGCCCTTTCGCATACGTGTGTACGTGTTCACTCATTTAACACCCCCTCCTACAACCACGTAACCAATTTAGCCATAGGACCCAAGTAAGTCGCAATTATAACACCCCATTTCACACCCACGTTAACCAATTAGACATCGAACCAGTAAGTCGCACTTTAAACACCCCGTTAACCAATTATAAGGTCCGCATCCTCCTCAGTGTTCCCCCGAGGAAGCTGCGGGCAATTTTTGCTATCCTGCCCACTAGTGCAAGCTGCCTCACAAATTTTTTTTGACGTTTCCAATATAATTTTAACCGCATAAATTTCAACTACGATTTTTCCTTCCCATAGGTACTGCGCTACTGGTACGTACGAAGGTGTTCTAAAGTTCCCAGGCCGCGATACCACTGCATTACAAGGGATAGCGGCCCTGGAAACTTCTGAAGATCTTTGTACGTGGTCTTGACGTTATCTTTGCAAGTCAGAGTTTTATGGGTCAGCGGGGTTTATCATGGTTTTGTATTGTGCATCGATTAGCTAATCATTCAAAGGTATTTGTTGGTACACTTATGACGTGCAATATCTTTTTCGTAATTTGACAGCGAAGCATCCACTTACTAACATTTTCAGACCGCGCTGACGCCATGCCGTCCGGCGGTCCAAGCTACGGCAGCTACTGCTGTGTATCGTGGTGCTTCAACAATGGCAGAACCCACAAGAAGCCTGGGACGAGTTTCTTCCGCATACCACGGGACGGCAGGTGTGTTAAAGCTTTTGTATGGTTTGCATGTCTTTAGGCTTACTGTTCGTACTTGCTCAGTGAGGGTAACAATAAAAAATCACTATTCAAGCACTTCCCCTTTCAGCTGATAGTTCATTGCCAATGCAGGATGAAAGCATGGATGCAGTATGCTGGACGCGATGATCTCCTTAGTAAGCCGGCCAGCCTATTGTACGCAACGTACAGGGTTGTAGCGACCATTTTACTGCTCAAAGTTCATGGACCCTAGCACACAAGGCTTACAAGAATGGCTGTTCCCAGTGTGCAACCAGCTGCACCATGTAAGTGATTGACTGAAACTCAAATATTTGCAATAGCAGCCACTTGTATTGAATCAGTGGCGACAGTTAACCGTGAAGATCTTTGTAGCCGATGGAGAAGCCTCACTATAGAAGTAACACTTGGAAAGTCTTAAATTTTGTGAATTGTGGGCTATTACCTTCCTAACAGCAGCATTACATTTCTGTCGTTTTTTGATGCTCTTGACCTGCGCAACTTGTTTTAAAAGACTTTAAAGGGCTATTTCACGTTATCTTCAAGCCTGAGTGCACATGTACGTATACCTTTCATCAGTGAAAGCTGCCACTGTTGATAATTCCAAAAATCACAAATTACTTGTTTCCTAGTTGGTGCCTTCTCTTTTCTTCCACGTTCGACCAATTTATGCGTTTGAAAGAGCTGCTTAAGTTTCCCCATGCTACAAGCTTTGTAACTTGTACCAACTGCACATATATGCAGGTTCTCTGAGCGTCGCTTCAAGTAGTGACTGTGACATGGCTGCAGAAGCTGCACTGCAAGGTGCAGATGAGCTTCAGTTTGTGTTATTTTAAGCCTCTTACTGATACATTGTCGTAATTTCATTTCTTCAGGGCCTGCGGCAGAGGCTTCAAAAAGCGGCTCCCACACATTGAGGTGCCCCGATGAACAGGGTGCGTTCAGTGTCGCGATTTCTTTTTTTTACCGAAATTGACTGTTGACCAAACCTCTGCAGGTGGCAGCTCCCTTGTAGCTGGTGAAAGAGTTTCCGCTGACTTCGTCTTGCCGGAGAAAACCTTAACCAGTCATTCAGCTGTCACAAAAGGAACTTGTGTGACCGGTAAGTTGTATGTTCACTTCAACACCAGAGTGGATTGATATAGAGACTTCCGCAGGCCGCTCGCAAGATTGTTCCGACAGCACTGTCCGAGGCACTGAACGAGCTTCACAAAATCCTCCAGAAGACGTCTCCGCCAACAGCTCCACACCTGAGTGCCCTGGAGAAAATGGTGACTATGCTTTTATTGCAGCTGTTTTTAATGTGCTATTTTATGTTTAGGACATTCTGAGGAAACTATCCTCAAAAGGACACTACGTGTGCACTTACAAAATGTAAGGGTGGGCTCTCAGTGATTTTATTTTTTTGTGCATTGTCAACATTGTGAATGGTTTGTTTTTAGGTGGTGGAATCGAAAACTTTGCACCACAGAAAGTTGTGCACCTTGAGTCTGACAGAGCGAAGAAAGTGCTCGTATGGGATTAGTTGTTCTTCGCTTTTACATTCATTTTTTTGTTTATTGCAGTGCGTTCCTGTGTGCCAGCGACAATGTCTCCATCAATGAAGTACAAGCAAACCATTAAACATCTGCAAGCCAAAGTAGCAGCACAGCGGAAAACTATCAAAAGACTGCGGAGACAGCCTCACCAAGCACCGTCATCGACTTCAAAGGCCCTTGAAGTTATCCGACCACACGTCACCGAGGAGGTTTTTAAACTTCTTTCTGCACATGTTTGCTTGAGGCCCAAACGCAAGAGCAAGCGGTTTCCCGTGTGGTTCAAGAAATTCGCTCTTCACTTAAACTTCCGAGGTCCGCGAGCATACCGATTTCTGGCTCCATATTTTTCTTTGCCCTCCCGGCGTTCATTAAGGAGGTGGCTAGCTAATGTAAAGATGACTCCAGGCATAATTCCAGGAATCCTTTCTTCCATTGCAACAAATACTCAAGCTTGGAATGAACGGGACCGAGTGTGCGCTTTAGTTTTCGACGAAATAGCACTCAAAAACATTTCCCGCAGCTTCCCTCGGGGGAACACTGAGGAGGATGCGGAGCATATAATTGGTTAACGGGGTGTTAAAGTGCGACTTACTTGGGTCGATGGCTAAATTGGTTAACGTGATTGTGAAATGGGGTGTTAAATTGCGACTTACTTGGGTCGATGGCTAAATTGGTTAACGTGGTTGTAGGAGGGGGTGTTAAATGAGTGAACACGTACACACGAATGCGAAAGGGCGGCGCTGGTCGAAGGGACGTCGATCATTGTGTTTGTGGATTCGTTGGAATTCATTTCACCGCGACCTTGGACGTCGACGCGCCGTACAAACAACCGACGAGCGGCAACTGAGCGAGTGAGCGCCGACCTTGAGTATATATACAGCTCGACGGCGCATGCACTGTCAGCTGTTGAATGTTCTCGAAGCGCGACGCCACATGCGCGTCCACTGGAGAATCAGGAGAATTGTAGATGTCGAACGCGGTGTGTAGAGGAGGAAGGGTGCACAGATGGTGGAGGAGTGAAGCACGCGCGGTGTGTAGAGGAGGAAGGGATGCACAGATGGTGGAAGAGTGGGCGACGGCGCATGCGCGCGCGTCAGCTGTCGAATGTTCGAGAAGCGGTGCGAACGGCGCGGACGGCGCGGACGGCGCACTACAAGGCGCGAGTATAAGATGCTCCGCATCTAAAAGAATTTGTACTATGATGCTGCAAGAGACGTTGTCCAGGGTTTTACAGATGATGGCACTCATCACACTTCAACCATCGCTGATCGAGCCCTGGTTTTTCTTCTTGTTGGCGTTTCGAGAAAGTGGGTTCAACCGGTTGCTTTTACTATAGGGCACACATCAACACCATCATCTGTTATGCATAACTTGCTGGTGTCACTCATTTTGGAGCTTAGGAGCATTAATATTGCAGTGAAAGCAGTCATTTGTGACCAGGGCAGTTCAAATGTAAGTCTCGCTAACCAACTAAGAGTGACTGTAGCAAAGCCTTTTTTTGAAGTTAATGGTGAGCGGGTATATTACATTTTTGATGTTCCGCATTTAATTAAAACAACGCGCAATAATATCCAAGCACACAAGTTATACATTGGGGATGACATCGTTAACTGGTTGCACATTGTAAGCCTTTACCAATCCTCACATGAGTTGCGGTTGCGATTGGCTCCAAAGTTGACTGAACGGCACGTTCATCAGAAACCTTTTTCTAATATGAAGGTCAGCTGAGCAACTCAGGTCCTCAGTGCATCAGTTTCGATTGCTATCACGGCATTGGTGTATGCGAAGGCGCTGCCTGCCTCGGCCATCACTACAGCTCAATTTTGTGATCGTATGGACAGGATTTTCGATCCCTTGAACAGCTCGAGTAAAAAAAGAACTTCGCAAAAGCTGCGGCATGCAATCATGAGAAATGATTCAGAGCTGATTGACTTCCTCCGAGGCCAGCTTCCCTGAATTGCATCATGGCAGTTTGTTGGCAGACGTCAACCACAAACCATCGTAGGTTGGCAAATTACAATTCAGGCAATTTGTCAACTATGGGACGACCTCTCCAAAAATTACAATTTTGAATACCTGTTAACGCGCAGGCTTCAACAGGATCCTCTGGAGAACATATCTGGCCACATTAGGCAAAAACAGGGTTGCAACACCAACCCCAATGTAGCACAATTTATTTGTGGCCTGAAGCACATCTGCATAAGAAAACTCTTCAAGCTGTCAGAATACGGAAATGTCGAGGATGATGAATGTGACCTCCTCCAGGAGCACCTCTCGCCATTCTCCCTCACCAGTGCATCTCTTGTGGATAATGAGGAGTGTGCACTGCCACAGCCTGACGACTTTCCCGCTCTAGACGATCTCTCTGAACTTGCGACAAACGTTCACTCCCATATTATCGATGACTCCGCTGCATATTATGTAGCTGGTTTTCTCATCAAACACTTCCTTCGGAATGCATGTGACGGTTGCAGTTGCCCACAGTTACTGAAAGACAACAGTGAGACGCTTAAGGGTACCCACCAGTATTTCACAATGCTCAAAGCATTCCACGTCCCCAGCAAACTTTTTGGGAATCTCACTGTGCCATCAGAAGCAGCTTTTGCATACGTACAACTTGAATCTCACTTTCTTGCCATAATTGAGGCCACTGCACATCACCCGAAAGTGTGCGATGTTTTGTATCACCATCTGTCAAGTGTTCGCGATTTTCATTTCTGCTCTGCTGGGTGTCGCGCGAAGTTTCTGAAAATGTTTTGCCGGGTTCGTCTATGTTGGCATGTGCGTTTTGTGAACCGAAACTTAGATAGGGTTAGGTTCCAGTCTTCAATCTCAGGCATACAGCTTGACAAGTTCAAAGGTTAGCAATTAGCGGCGGGTTTACACTAAAGTATTCGAGTTGAGCCGAATCCTGCAATAGCTTTGTTATGTTATTACTTCGTTACAGCAGACTTCATTATGGTCTTATATGCTTATATTCAGCTCAACTGGACTAGCCACTCCTTCGTTGCATACATTGTTTAGGTTACCCGCTATGAGGAGTAGGGACACTGTGTATTCGCTCGAAGTGATTTGAATAACCTTAAAAAGAATGTTGGGTATCCTGTCTGTATTTTTGTAGCAAATGCGGGCAAACTGTACACTTTACTGTGGCTCGCTTGGTCACTGTGTATGCTTTATCTCTCCAGCTCAAGTAACATATCGATAACAAAACCGCTTGTTGAAATGTCTTCGAGCGGGTAAGGAACACAGTATGAAGTGGGCACGGTTCACGTTATCACGCTTTTCGTATTTTAGCTTCTCATCAACCTCTCATCTCGCCCATCAAAATTTTCAAAAGAATACTCAAACTTGTAGCGTTTGATGGGGCTGTGGACGCTGCCATTTTATTTTTATATAGCTTTTGAGTGATAACGTACGATGTAGAGCCTTTGTGAAAAATAATGAGCCAAAGTGGTTCCTTCTGCTATTTATTAGCCCTGTGATACCGCTCTCGTAACACCAATTAATGTCCACAATTCTGGGTAAGTGATGACTACAATCTATTTTAGATCGCAAGCGTCACAGCAACACCCAGACGCAAATCACTTGGGCTCTTAAGTTTTTGATGAAGGCGACGCACAAGAAGAGCCACAAGACCTGCCATTGTTGTAGTATAAAGTTTGTCTTTCACGTAGTGAGCAAGCTGCGAAGCCCTACCTTTCTGAGGACAAGCAGGCATCAAGTCTGCTTTTTTAATTTTGGGCTAGCTGTTCTTAAGCACAGCCAGCACACTGCACCTTTGCCTTTCTGCTATATTGTGTCGTGTGGTTTCTGTGCGCTCTTTTTTTCTATGCATTATTTCGGTTCACCTCAGGCGTGATTCGCAACTTCATTGCTGTGTATATGTCACTTCTTCCTTCTTCATCAGCATTGTGCGCTGTGTTTTTGCCATAGATCCTTCCTTACCCACTGGCCCGGTGTGTCATACTTCACCAGCTTCTCGGCTTCTGCCAACTCTAGCGATGTGTGCGTTGTCTGTGTTCTCTCTGTATTTGTTACAATTTATTTGTAAGGCGAGATGCATTTGTTGTCTACCTTTGTCATATTGTGCTTTTTATATTCTCAGACTCTACCTTGCCTTTGAATAAAACATTACGGATACTCTGTCTCTTTGACTGATATATACATTGATCACTCGTTCCAAAAGAAAAACACAAGCGCGATGAATAAAACCGTAGTGAATTATCATTACCTGCATCTCTTTTTATTATAACTTAATCGAAATAAAAATTACGTCACGACCGATTCGCACAAACCACTGAACAAAACAAAACAGGGAATTGCTAAATCAAAACGACCTACAAAAACTATCCATTTGGGCTATGAATAGTGGTCTGAAATCATGAACTTTAGTCATAGCCAAACGTCGGTTATGCAAAGTAATTCAAAATTTGCGCCAGTGAAACCGAAACAGGAAGCGCACGCCACTTGCTCTCACCAACCACTAGTGTGCTAGGGTCGATTGGGCCGCTAGGGTCTATGGGAGTGTCCACTCTTAACCTTTATTCTCTATGGCCCTTTTTTCTAATCAGTGATTCGTTTTTTTTTTCTTGCTTTCTTTACTACACGGGACAGCTTACTGCTCTCCCATAGTTGAGTATCAAGTACTCAAAATCGTTCAACGTTTTTTCTAAACACATCAATATTGTAATTATACGTGTAAACACTTTTGGGACTGCTTTATGCTCTCCCATAGTCGAGTACTAATCACTCGAAATCATTAACCACTTTTTCTAAATACAGTAGTCTCGGGACGGCTTTCAGCTCTCCCATAGTAGAGTACCAAGTGCTCTAAATCGTCAACAATTTTTCTAAACACAGAATGCAGTAGTATTGTGGCTGGACGTTGCTTGACAGCCTGATATTGGCTGGTTTGAGGCCGACAGGACGGCTCTATGCTCTCCCATAGAAGAGTATCTCGTACTCTCCATTGTTATTACCTTTTCCAAACACACAGCGGGATGGCTATATGCTGTCCCATAGTAGAGTATTAAGTGCTCTCAATGTTTAACGACTTTCTCAACACATAGCGGGAACGGCTAAACGCTCTCGCAGAGTTGAGTAGGAATCCTTAAACGCAAAGTGGAACGGCAGCCTCGTGAGGCCCTCGAGACGGCTTTATGCTCTTCCATAGTTGAATACCTATAGTACATTAAATCATTGATCACTTTTTCTAAACATATGTTACATACCTAATACTCAAAATCGTCAAAAGGCCACTCACTAGGTTTGACAATTTTGAGCTGACAAGCGCAATGCGAACATGGAGCGTTCGTGATCACGTCTGCCAAAATTTGCAACGCTACGCGTCGCATAAATGGGTCGAATTTGAAGAACGCTGTTCTCCCTTCCTTTCGCGGGCGCGAGCCCAGAGAATGAGGGCATGACATACACGTAAGAATAGGCCTACGTACACGGCAGTGCTGTGACGTTGTTCCTATACGTCATAGAGTTTCATCTATGCTCGACGTAGACGACTGTGCTCTGATGTTGCCAACAGTAGCACGTGACACGGCGAAAATTCTTTAACACGACTTGTGTAGTTTATGTAATTTATTACTCGAATAGACGCATAATACCTGAGATAAATTATGAAACACATTGAGAGAACGTGCGCGTCTTTTTCCTTTTCCAGTGACTTTCCCTCTCGAATTCCAACGAGATGCGAGGCTAAGTCATTCGCCCCCTTTTCTGTTGTGGTTAGTGCAGAGCGGTACGCAGCACCCATGCATTCTAAGGCTTCACCAGCAGCGTTTAACACTCTACCGCAACGTTCGACGCCGTATTGATGAGAACTAAACGCAACCGGTCGTACACGCAGTGCGGGCACCAAAATGGGGCGACAGCGCAGCGTTGCTGTCTGGCAACATTGTGTTTTGGCGGGCGGCGGTGCGTTGGCGGCATGTAGTGGGTCAAAGGCTGACATCACCCTAAACACGGCCGTTCATGTAGGCTCGCTAATCCACTCAACCGCGCCTAAGCCATCGTTTCCGAACCATCCTGCAGAACAGGCTGTAAATCCCGAGATGACGCTAGTCAACAACGCCGCTCGCGTGCTCGGGGTCGGGCTAGTTAGGGCACGTCTTGCACTAGTAACCTCTTGGTCGGATGACGGAGAGGGTAGGGAAGAGATTTGGCTTGCGAAGTCTACGTGAGGCGAGCGGCAATGGTATCGAGCTCGCCTCCTCGCATCTTCCTTTCGCTCTGATTGAAAAAAAAAGCAGTTCTCTAAGTTTGTAATGAACCGATTGAAAACCTCTTTGTGGCATGATGCTCTTCGTTGGACACACAATAACTTACACGGTCTAATAATATTTGTTATGGGGTGAGTGTGTTTACAAAAAGTCGTTAACGATTTAGAGTACTTAGTACTCTACTATGGGAGAGCTGAGAGCCGTCCCGTGTTAAATCCGATGAAGCGGCGGTAGTTCACGATAACAAGAAAAGCACGAATGGGGTGAGTGGCCCTTTACCCACTTTTTCTAAATGGCTCGAACAGCAGTTGGTAAAAGCATACTGTGCCTTCTGTAATGCGGAACCACTCGTCGTGAACTCGTTCACGGCGTCATTTTTGTCAACAGGGCCTCATCAAGTGTCAGGCACGCGGGACGGTATTATGCTCTCCCAAGTAAAGTACCAAGTACACAAAATCGTTAACCACTGGCTTTTTCTAAACAAACTTTGCCATAGTAGACTACCAAGTACTTTAAATCGTTATAACGTTTTTTAACTCAGTTCTGTTGCAATGATATTGATGTCCACTATCTATATGCCAACTCGCCAACTAACAGTTTTACTGATCGCATCTACCTAGCCATTATGCCTCTACTTTCATACATCCGAAAACACACACACACACACACACACACACACACACACACACACGCGCGCGCGCGCGCACACGCACACGCACACACACACACACACACACCACACACACACTTCAACAGTTCATTTGTGGCGCATTGTGCCCGTTGTGCTTTGTCATGGGCCAAGAATATGCCGCAGTTCTAATCTCGCATCCCGCTCTTGGCTGTGTATCACTTGCAATCACACGGAGCATGTTGCAGGCCTTCGGGGACGTCACACTGTGAATGCATATTTATTGGCGATTCAGTCTGATCTTGCTCATGAAGTACTTCGACGTTTAGTCCGATATGGTGCAGCGTGTCGGCATGTTTGTTGTTGCCTAGCTGGACCTTCTGTTGATCTGTTAGTGAACTTCTGGCTTATCTGTGGCCGATTGTTCCCACAAGCTCCATATCGAGCCTCTACTGCCGTGACGCACTTTTCATAGGTCTGATGAATGTGTTCTTTCGAATAAAATTAGCGGAAATAACGCTCTCAAAGTATTACCAATAAGCGTCTAGACAGATGACATGTTTCTCTTTATACGAAAGGACCGGTGAATATAGGACGGTTGCATGCTGTGTCGGGGTGGGGGTTGCATGGCGGTGGTCCTCGTTAAGCTGACGGCATCAGGTCTGGTTTTCCAATCGGCGGGCCAAGTGGCGGCGCGAGGAGAAGCTGCGCAGCCAGCGTCGTGCCGCGGAGTCCAGCGCCGCCGTCGGTGGGGGACCCGTGCACGGAAGACTCGCCGGTCCGCTGGCGGGGTACCCTGGACTCAGCCAGCCCATGGCTGCAGCCATGCAGGACTCCTACAGGTAAGCCACTGTATACTAGTCCCGACACATTGTGGAATCTGAACGCATATGATCAGAAATACTGATCGCGAGGCCTAATGTCTCACTTTGGCATGCATGCGCAGCTTTCCAGGTTTACGCCCACGCCCTGCACACGCGGTGCTTAGAAACGCATAGACAGCCAAAGATATAAAAGACGCAAGCGTTCTGAGCAATTCAGAGTTCGGCCGCTATTTTGGGTTGAAGCGGAACCGAACCGAAACTTTTCATTATATACTGGAGCCAGCTTGACCGAATTCATGCATGTTTGGACCACTTAGACATTTATTCACCGTTGAACTTGCGAAATGTAAAGGAATGAAGACGGCCCATAGTAGTATATTTACTTCACAATATTGTTACGGGGAATAAAGTATATACTGGCGAGCTAATGCGTACAACGCTGCTGCAGTCCGAGCACGGTCACGTTCAGCACTTCGTCGTCGTCATCCTCAGGCATCTACTTAGCCCGTGACATTACCCGCCGGCGGCAGAAGCACCGTCCCGGTGCGATCAATTCTCGAGGCGTGAGTAGTATGGTTTAAGCCGTGAGACGTGCACTATATTGGTCGGGACTGAAGCTGGTACTGACGTAGTATGGAGTGGAGCTATCTCATAGGTCACGCTGGTGACCTTGCGTATGACGCGGTAGGGGCCAACGTAACGGGACATTAGTTTTTCGCAGAGACCAACACGACGTGATGGTAACCACAGCAAGACGAGTGACCCCGGAGAGTACTGTACGGCGCGGTGCTGGCGATCGTAAGCACTTTTTTGGTTAAGCTGCGAGGCACATAAACGATCCCGGGCAACTTGGCGGGCGATGTCAGCTCGGGCCAGGGCATCACGAGCATAAGCAGTAAATGAGGGGGCGTCGGATTGGAGCATGATGTCCATTGGCAAAGGCGGGTCATAACCAAACAGAAGGTAAAAATGTGAAAATCCAGCTGTATCATGACGTGAACTGTTGTATGCGAAGGTAACGAAAGGTAAGTGGGTGTCCCAATCTTTGTGATCCTTGGAGACGTACATCGCTAACATATTCGTCAGGGTACGGTTGAGGTGTTCCGTGAGGCCGTTGGTTTGCGGATGGTACGCTGTAGTGAACTTGTGGTGGGTAGAGCAGGATCGCAGGAGCTCGTAGACTACTTTAGATAGAAAACAGCTGCCGCGGTCGGTGATCAACTGACGAGGAGCACCATGACGCAGAATGATGTCATGAAGAAGGAAGTCGGCTACATCAGTAGCGCAGCTGGTGGGGAGGGCGCGTGTAATGGCATACCGCGTTGCGTAGTCGGTAGCAATAGCAATCCACTTATTAGCGGTGGCCGACACGGGAAAAGGTCCTAGAAGATCGAGGCCGACTCGGAAAAATGGCTCATCTGGTACATCAATGGGCTGGAGGGTACCAGCAGGTCTCAGAGCAGGTGTCTTGCGGCGCTGGCAGAGGTCGCATGCCGCAACGTACTGTCGCACAAAACGGTAGAGGCCAGGCCAAAAGAAACGGCGGCGAATGTGGTCATGCGTGCGTGACACCCCTAGGTGTCCAGCGGAGGGGGCATCATGCAGCTGGGCCAAAACGTCTGAGCGAAGATGCGCAGGAACAACGAGTAAAAGCTCAGCACCATCAGGGCGGGCGTTGTAGCGGTGCAAGATGTCGTTGTGAAGAACGAACAGTTGTAAGAAGTGGTCAGGGTGGGGAGAGTGCAGACCATTGATAATAGCACGTAAAGAGGGGTCGCAGCGTTGTTCAGCAGATATGTCGGTGAAGTCGGTAATTGAAAGAACGAGGGCATCTTGCTCATCTTCCCTCGTGTCAGGGGGATCAACTGGGTAACGGGACAAGCAGTCGGCATCCTTGTGAAGTTGTCCGGATTTATAGGATGCGGAAAAAGTGTACTCTTGTAAGCGCAGCGCCCAGCGACCAAGGCGTCCCGTAGGGTCCTTGAGTGAGGAGAGCCAGCAAAGCGCATGGTCATTATCATCATCATCAGCCTGACTACGTCCACTGCAGGACAAAGGCCTCTCCCATGTTCCGCCAGTTAACCCGGTCCTGTGCTTGCTGCTGCCAATTTATACCCACAAACTTCTTAATCACATCTGCCCACCTAACCTGCTGTCTCCCCCTAACCCGCTTCCCTTTTCTGGGAATCCAGTTAGTTACCCTTAACGACCAGCGGTTATCCTGTCTACGCGCTACATGCCCAGCCCTTGTCCATTTTCTCTTCTTTATTTCAACTATGATATCCTTAACCCCCGTTTGTCCCCTAATCCACTCTGCTCTCTTCTTGTCTCTTAAGGTTACACCTACCATTTTTTTTCCATTGCTCGCTGCGTCGTTCTCAATTTAAGCTGAACCCTCTTTGTAAGTCTCCAGGTTTCTGCTCCGTAGCTAAGTACTGGCAAGATACAGCTGTTTTATACCTTCCTCTTGAGGGATAGTGGCAATCTACCTGTCATAATTTGAGAGTGCTTGCCGAATGTGCTCCACCCCATTCTTATTCTTCTAGTTACTTCAATCTCGTGGTTAGGCTCTGCGGTTATTACCTGCCCTAAGTAGACATAGTCCTTTACAACTTCAAGTGCACTATTACCTATCTCGAAGCGCTGCTCCTTTCTGAGGTTGTTGTACATTACTTTCGTTTTCTGCAGATTAATTTTAAGACCCACCTTTCTGCTCTCCTTGTCTAACTCCGTAATCATGAGTTGCAATTCGTCCCCTGAGTTACTCAGCAATGCAATGTCATCGGTGAAGCGCAAGTTACTAAGTATTCTCCATTAACTCTTATCCCTAACTGTTCCCATTCTAGGCTTCTGAAAACCTCCTGTAAGCACGCGGTAAATAGCATTGGGAAGATTGTGTCCCCCTGCCTTACACCCTTCTTGATTGGTATTCAAGAAGGCTGTAAGGCAGGGGGACACAATCTCCCCAATGCTATTTACCATGCGCATGGTGGTCCGTAATAACTGAGAATGGTCGGCCATACAGGTACGGTTGGAATTTCGCAATGGCCCAGACCAGAGCTAAGCATTCGCGTTCTGTGATGGAATAATTTTGTTCCGAGCGCGACAACAGTCGCCTTGCATACACGACGACGCGGTGCATGCCTTGTTGCCGCTGCGCCAGCACTGCGCCTATGCCGTGGCCACTGGCGTCAGTACGAAGCTCCGTGGTGGCAGATGGATCGAAGTGTGCTAGGACTGGTGGATTGGTGAGATTGTCACGAGCGACGAGAAGGCGTTTGCTTGCTGTTGGCTCCAGGTGAATGCGACATCCGTTTTGAGGAGGCAGGTTAGAGGACGGGCTACTTCAGTTAAAACTTCTCGACAAAACGACGGAAATAGGAGCACAGTCCCAGAAAACTTCGGACGTCCTTGGCTGAGCGGGGTGTGGTGAAGTCGCGAACTGCTCGGACTTTCGCAGAGTCGGTTGAACGCCCGCAGCGTTAACAAGATGGCCGATACGCAGATTGGCGTTGCCCAAAGCGGCATTTGGACGAGTTAAGTTGCAAGTTTGCACGTCGAAAAACATCAAGCACTGTGGACAGACGGGTAAGATGGTCGTCGAAAGTAGTCGAAAAAAACAATAACGTCGTCAAGATGGTCCACTTCATGCCTCGAAGGAGAGAGTCCATCATGCGCTCAAATGTCGCGGGGGCATTGAATAATCAAAAGGCATCATCTTGAACTGATGAAGTCCATCAGGAGTCACGAAGGCCGTCTTCTCTCTGTCTTTGTCGTCACAGCGATCTGCCAGTAGCCTGAGCGAAGGTCTATGAAGAGAAATATTTGGCACCGTGCAAGCAATCGAGTGCATCATCTATGCGCGGTAGGGGATAGACATCTTTCTTGGCAATATGGTTGAGATGGCGGTAATCAACACAGAATCTCCAGCTATTGTCCTTCTTTTTAACAAGTACAACGGGTGAGGACCAGGGACTAGATGAGGGTTCGTTACGCCCATATCAAGCATTTTATCGACTTCTCGCTGTATAATAGCACGCTCCGGGGCTGACACACGTAGGGTCGTCGGCGAATGGGTCGAGGCGGTCACCGGTGTCGATGCGATGGGTTACCACGGATGTCTGGCCCAAATTACGGTCGCCGAAGTCAAAGATGTCCTGATAAGAAGCAAGCACACGGCAGAAAGCAGAGACTTGTTCAGAGGTGAGCTTTTCAGATAGCATTGGCTTGAAAAGGTCGGAACAGGAACGTGACGAGAACGACGTTGATGAAAATCGGGTGGCGAATCGGTGGTTAGGGGCGGAACCTGTGTGGTCGACCAGTGGTGTCAGATGCGCAAGTGACATGCCGCGAGGAATCACTTGCGCTGAGAAGCTGAAATTGAGGACCGGAAATGAAGTTCGGTTGTCCTTAAACGGTTACCACCGTGTTGGGGAGTGCAACATTGCGTGTCATGGCCACGTCAGAAATTGGGGCAAGCAACATAATCACCATCGGGTAGCGGAGGATATGGCGAGAGTTGGACTTGGACTGCGGCTTGCGGCGGAAGTCTGAGGAAATCGACAGAGCGTAGACGAGGTGGGCTGGTAGAGACGGTCTCCGAGAAGGATGGTAGTTCGAGCCGAAAAAGACCTTGGAACAGTCAATGAGCGCAGCGTGTGAAGTCAGAAAGTCGAGTCCAAGGATGAGGTCATGAGGGCAATGTTCCAGTACAGCGAACAGAACTGAAGTTTGATGCTCAGAATTGTTAATCGCGGCAGTGCACATTCCAAGCACAGCAGGAGTACTGCCATCTGCTGTACGAACGGTAGGTGCAATCGCAGGCGTCAGAACTTTTGGAGGCGGCGGCGGAGGTCTGAGCTCATCACAGATATTTGTGCACCGGTATCAATAAGAGCAGTTACAGTTACAGCAGTTACTCCCACTGGTCGGGAGTAATCAGAGGATTTGCAGTCTGAGTCGTGTATGCAGCGTCACCTCCGGGGCTGCACCGGCTAGTTTTCCGAGCGACGGTCGTAGGGATACTGAGGAACGGCGGGGTCGGGGCGAGCAGGACTGACGACACACGGGCGATGGCGAGCGGCTGGTCCGACGTTCTGGATTAGGCTCTGCACCGTCTCAGCACGGTAGGACGGGGCATAAGGTGCACGTTCAGAGCGAGGGCCGCCAAATATAAAAGCTCGGTTGAGGTGATGAGGTCCAATGGCTGCGGCAATGCGAGCGATGTGTCCTATCCGATGGCACGTGAAACATATGAGCCGATCATCATGAGTGCGCCATTCAGCTGGGTTTCATCGTGGCGCGCACGTGCGGTTCGGAGTGGCAGCCGCAATGACTGGAGCCGAGCTGGAAGTACCAGGGGCATTTTGATGAGGTGGCAAATGCCTATATTCGCGATCTTTTGGCGAACCACGGCCAGTATTATTGAACAGCATCGAGGTTGTGTCCTGGCGCGCTGACGCTAGACATAGCGGGAGCCATAGCCTCGAGTTCCCGACGGACTATTCTGGGACGTTTTCTGGCGCTGGTGGTTGTTGTAGTGTGGGAAAATCTTTGCAAGAGGACGTAGCCGCCGTGTTGGGAAGGCGGTCCAATCGGTGAACTATGCGCCTACTTTTTGCCTGTTCGAAGCGACGACATGCTTCGATGACCGACTCCATCGTCGAGCAGTCCTTGCACAGGAGAAAATTGAAGGCGTCATCCGCAATTCCTTTCAGGATGTGTCCGACTTTGTCCTCGTCGAGCATGTCCTTGTCGACCTTGCGGCACAAAGCCAACACGTCCTGGATGTACGCGATGTACGGCTCTGTGGATGTCTCGGCACGAGTCGCAAGCTCTTTCTTTGCGGCCACTTGACGTCCGATAGGTTTCCCAAACAGATAGCGCAATTTCTGCTTACAGACGTCCCAGCTAGTCAACTCTTCTTGATGTGTCTCGTACCAGAGTTTTGCTGTGCCATGCAAGTAAAAGATGATGTTCGCCAACATGAGCGTCGGATCCCAATGGTTGCTGCTGCTGACACGCTCATATAGAACCAGCTAGTCATCGACGTCTATGCCACTTGTGCCGTTGAATGGGTCTGGGTCACGAGGTTGCACCACAACGATCGGCTGCGGGGCTGATGGATCTTGTTGACATTGAGTAGCCTGGTCAGTCATCGTGGTAGCTGCAATGCGCCGTCCGCTGCGAAGATCCAGCTCGTTGGGCTGTATAGCGAGTGGTACCCCGCACCTTCAACCAATGATGTTACGGGGAATAAAGTATACACTGGCGAGCAAATGCGTACTGGCGAATATACTGGCGAGCTAATGCGTACAACGCTGCTGCAGTCCGAGCGCGTTCACTTTCAGCACTTCATCGTCGTCATCCTCAGGCATCTACTTAGCCCGTGACAATATCAACAATTTATGTTCCTCTCTGCGAACTGGGCGTTCCGGAAACACAAGGCAGGAAATTGCTTTTTCTCATCCTATAATCAGATAATAACTGGTCTATAAGCGCACCTAAACGGCTTGGAGAGTAGTTTTTGTGTTCACCCTGGAGCTAATTTTCAACCGAACGGAAATTAAAAGGGCGTGGAGGGAGTGAGCGAATCAATTTGCCGTTCCATGATTCTGTTCTTGGCAAGAATGGGGCACTCTATAGGCTGGCTTGTGTAACGCGATGTTGCATTATTTTGTTTGTTACATAGCGAAACTGTCTCCGTATAGAGTATCTTTAGGGACGGCCACCATGCATGACAAACCCATAAAACGCAACCAATAAGGACTGTATTAACCGTAGACAATATAGTGTCTATCGCCCATCCTTGCAATCACGCAGCCCGATGGCCGCCGGTATGGGATCGGGACCATGCCTGCAGCAACAACACAGGGATGCGGCCTCATATTCGTACATGCTGCACGACACCCTCGGCTTAGGCGCCTACTCCAGGGCCTCGGCCAACCCGGCTGGCCAGGGTGGCATCGCGGGAGGGCATCCCGCCGCGTACGCAGTCAGCGGGGCCAGCCCTCATGGCGCCGCAGGTAGGTCCTGTGAATTTCTGCTTTTCTTTAGTACAGCCCCACCACGTGGCACGAAATTGCGTTGAGAGCGACATCGATGAGTGCAATATAGTTTTAACACGTCTTCGCCAGGAGGAGAAGAAAACGCTTTATTACGCCAGAAATGGGCCAGGTCTGGAAGGGGCCAGGGAGAGGGAGATGTGCCCTCAGGTCGCTTTAGGTGGCCAGAAGTGCATGTATGTCGGCGACCCTATGGCTGCACAGCGCATGATTCAGAGTAAGTCTTCCAGTCGTGAGCTGCGTATAGAGGCAGCCATACCATCGCTAATGTTTCTTGGTCACAACAATGAGGGTATAGGTATACGATTGAAGTCGGCTCGCCGACTCGAGCACTGACGGCACTGGCGTAAGGCTTCACCCTGATCTTACAGGTGTTGAAACTACGCGCAACTACTCATTACTGCAACCGCTGGCCCGTCACAAGAATATAGTGCTTCAAAGCTTTTATGACCGACAAGATACCCGACCATAAAGCCATTATAGTTAAAACTTTCGGTGCATAGGCGCCATTTGCGACATGAACATTGCTTCAAATTAGAACAAGCATGGTCGCACCATCAAGAAGTTGCATGCTAAGAAATTTTGTATACTCCCAGACGACAGCGCGAATCGGTACTGTTAAGAGAATACATATTTGCATTACCATGCTGGCCAAACGGCTAGAATTATGTAATTGCTCTTTAATGCTATCGAATCCTATTGTGGGGAACAACTGAAGAAGTCGCCAGGCCCCGTCTAGACGACCGACACGCGGCAGCCGATTGCTTTCGCGACCGGGGAAACACTGTCCCGCTTGTGTTCTCGGGCGCGTTCTCGAAGCTGGCATTCACTTCACTACATTACTACACAAGCTACACTATTCCTTCTAACTCAGCGTGACGAAACACGAGTTGCACCCCCCCCCCCCTATACAGGATCCGGGCCGATGCCTATGTATCACACGTCTACGTTTGTGGTCGTATAAACAGTATACTCGTTTTCAATATATAAGAGGTTAGGAACTAGAATTGCGGAGAGAGAGTGAATTGCACCTTGGATCAGATCACTGCATCTGCTCACAGGGTGACGAAGGGGAGACACCTACCGAAAGGCTCAGAAGAGCAGTGAAATAAGTCGAATGCCTTGTGCTATCTCAGAGCAAAGCCCTGGGTCATCGAGTCGTGTGCTAAACGCCCGGCAACTATCGCCGGGAGAGCGCAGGCAATGCGCACCAACTTTTTTCATCTAGGGACCTTAGCACCAACCATCATTGCCCGCAGATTTCACTGCAGCCCGAGTTCTCAACAAACATGGCCTGTTTGAGATATGGTGCATCTTAATGTAACTAGACCTATAGAGACTTTAGTGCATATAATGTTACCCCTAGAGAGACGACGCAGGGCACTACATGGCAACCGCACTTTCTCTGTGCTCGAACGCATACTATCCTTGAAAGGCATTCTTGCAGTCGTCTCTTTCTTGTAGTCAGCCGCCTTGCTAAACGGCGAATTGGTGGCGTCCTCACTTTTGTCAATGCGACAAGTTCAGGGTGTGATGACTACGGGAGTGCGACTGCTATGCGAATGAATACAGCATTTCCTACAGTTTGGTGCCTGCATACTGTTTGTGAGAAATGCGCCTGCACCTCTGATCTCTCTCTGGTTAGCTCTGCTGCACTGCATCAACATACTTATGCACCACTGCAGAATCAGTGGTTCTCAGTGGTCTCGAGCATATGTCATCGCTGTCTTTCGCTATGCGCAGGTGTCATCTCTCCAGGCGTGACGGTGCCAGTGCAAGTCCCTGGCCAAACAACCGACCTCTCGGTGCCGTCCAACTATTGGCCCCGACTGCAGTGACAATGGCCCATGGTTGGGTACCCGACCGACCTGAGCCTCGCCAAGGGTAGCAGGTCGTACGCCAACCTCCAGGACCACTTCCCGGCCACTTGCGCCAACAAGGACTAGTCGCGCTACATGCGCCCACAAAGGAAGCTTGGCTTCACTCTTCTAGTCCGCACGAATTCTTGCCAGCAGCGCACAAGCAGAACTCGGATGAACGGTGCAGGAAACGTGCGTGCTCCTTCTTGCAGAAGTGTGAAGCAGTGGCCATGTTTTGTGATGGTGTGTGCAGCTGCTCTAATAGCAGACCCGTATTCTTTTCCCTTTAATGACCACCCATGACCATCTTTGTGTAAACAACAAAGGGTTCAATATGGCATGCAGCACATAAAATGTTGTGCTAATGTCAAGCCGTTTAGCGCAGGACTTTGGAATCTTTGGGAATCTCTTGGCACTGATGCTTAATATCGCAAAGTTTCTCAAGGCTACAAATTAGATGGGCATTTTAACGCCACCTTGACAGGCCTCTTAAATTCTATTAATGAAACTGCACCATGGTTGAACGGCTCTCTACAGACTGTAAGCCAGCCTTCCCCTGATCTATATATCGGCACGAAAGGCAAAGTTTGCAGCAATGCACCCATGCGAAAATCATGAGCGATTTGGCACTACTATAACGATTTGTGATGATGAAGCAAGCAGATGGACAAAGTAGAACATGTGCTGGCAATGGTTGTGTTGCTATGTGTTGTGAATATGCATTGGCAATAGAACATGTGCTGGCAAGAAGTAACTGCACAAACAATCACAAAGCAACTCTGCTGCCTTCACTTGCTGTAGTCTTCAACGCGTGTCATGAACACTCCAAACACGTGTGCCTCGACCACCGCTCGTCGAAGCCGCATTGGACGACAAGACCAGTCGATGCTGGCAAGAGCTACCAAGATTGCTACTGAATATAAGGACCTTTGTTCTAGTCGACCACACTTGTGAGCGCCCCAGTTCTTTCTTTCTGTTGTTCTTAATGTGTCACTTGACTACTCCATCTACTATCTTCTAAATGGGCTGTCTCGGTTGTTGTCAATGTCGTCAATGCAATCAAGCTGCAGCTCGTCTTCCTAGGCCAAGAATTCTCGACGACAAGTTTCTCGGGCAGTGCAAACACAACCCATCCGTCACTAACCTGCGCACACAACACTGTGTTGACACTGCAAATGCAGTCCAACTGACAATATGTGTGCTCTCATAGGCGAGTGAATGAAATACTCGCTACACTGCCCTCATGATCCAATGTGACACCAGAGTGAAGTTTTTGTTTGTTTGTTTGCATTTAAAGCAGTACAGTTGTGGCGTCTTTTCTGTTTCCTTTGCCTCGCACATCTGAAATGCCAGAGTGTTTGCAGTGTTGCCAGAGATGGCTCGAGACTGTAGCATTAATTTGCACACCATATCGGCAGCTTGTTGTTTTGTGTCATCTGTGTGGACCTTGGAAAGTGATGTTTTGAAAAGCTTGTACAGAACTGTACTGAAGAACAGATAGGCGCACACTTTAGAAATGTCAAGAGGCATACTTTATTATAGCTCATCCCAAAGAGTTTTCGGTAAAGACAAGAAAAAAATAAAAGAACACAGTGAGCGTCACTCTGCGATGCCTTCTGCTGTCACACTTTCTTCGTCAGCATTGGAAATCAGGAGGCATAAGGCCACAGATTGAGCTATTGCAGCTTGTCTCAGGTGCACACCAGACCCAAGGTACAGCTTCTCGTGCCATGCCTGCTTAATCAAAGAGTTGTGTTGTGACCCTACCTCCCAACTCCATATTAAAAACACGAGTGGAAGAAAGCTCCAAGGAAGAAAGGAATTCGGGCTGAATTGGCAAGAAAAACAATGAGTGTCATGTATTCAGCATCAACAAACAAAGTATATTATTACTGTCACCTTACACAATGTGATCAAAATTATATTCCGATTCTTATCTGGCACATAAATTTTCATGCGACATGATAAGCCAGCTCCTTGTCAGGGAGAGATAAGAAAAGGTGGCACCTCATAGCTGCAAGGTGTAAAGGTTATTGCGCTCTGTATGAGCGACACCATACGCTGATCACACTGCAAAGTTATGCAGTGGCGCTGATCGTTGCATACTTTTTAGTTATTGGGGAAAGAATTAGGCTTTTCATGCAAGTGTGCATTGCCCCCACTTGCTTGCTTTCACCCACAAAGTTACTTTTGAAGTTATTTTTTGTTGAAAGCAAATGGAGCCGAAGCGCACTTGCAGGAACAGCCAAACCATTTCCTAATAACTAGAAATCATGTCACTATTAGCACTACAATACTACCTGGCAGTGCCGGTGGCCATGCGCTCACATGGTGTTACATGCAACAGTACTCTTTTTCAGTCTCAAACATTTGACTACTCATTCCATTACAAACATAACACTACTTGCAACCGTTCTGACTAGTGCAGTGTAAAATATAGCCATATAGTACACAACTAACGGCGACGTGTTCTGTCACTCAGGTATATGCTGTGGTGTCTTCACGTCCCGCCGGAAAGGCTAAATGTCGTATCCGCAAATGAAAAAGATGATTTGATCTCTTTTCGAGTCCTTGAGGTGGGCAACTGGTCTACGGCCCATGCATCAACACTGTTGTTACACAATTATAATAGGAAGAATTTGCCACATAAGCGCACTTTCACTTCCATGCCTTCAAGATGTTGGTTAGCGCTAGAATAAAATGTTAACCAGTGACGAGCATTGCTCAAGTGTGGGGTTCACATCACTCAAAGAGCAGCGCTGCCCTCCACATCCCATGATTTGTGGTTGGGTGTTGGGTGCAGCAATGCTTTAGAGATACGGGCTTTCGATGAACGATGCAATGGCACCTATGAGGAACAGCCTCGCCTCAATCAATATGAGTTGTAGCTAGGCGGTGGTTCGTAGGGGAGCGCATTGCCAACTATGCTCCCTCCTTACAATGAACACACCCTCCTTACAATGAATATTCCCAGATACCTTATAGATCCACAAGCTACTAATGCATAAGTCTCATATTTTAACTGTCCTTCATGGAGCAAGAAAAGCTGTACTAGTATGTATGAAGCAACTACGACACAAAACGAAAAGTTACCATTTGTCCAGCACATGCCGGTACTGTCGGCACTCTAATGCATTATATCAACGAGATAAAACAGCATTGAAAATCAAGAGGCCTAATGCCACAGACTGAACCATTCTCCAACATTTAAAACTTCTATTGAAAGAAAAAACTTTTGCGCTCGCAAACACAGGCGCTAAGCCCCCCTTTATAAACTAGTGAGGGCATACATTGTTTCTGGCTGTACAGTATAGTTTAAAAATACATATATATAGTTTAAAATTACATATAAAGAAAAAAATACCAAATCCTAACCATTTCAATACAAGCTTTACTATTTTTTGTACTGAACACTTGCAGATAGCCAATATCGTGTGCCTAATAGAATTTTTATGGGCATCTTAAAATAAAACTACAACAATAAAACGACTACAGTTAGCCGCACTTTGTATGAGTGTAAGTAGCAAAGTATTATGAGTATGAAAACTCGATGGGGGCGCTACATGGTGCTTGCAAACAGGCCGATACTGTCTTGCAAAGGCGTGTCGGAAACAATTCACACGAGCATTAAATTTTAGCTCCTTGGGGCTAACTATACCATAGAGTCACTCATGGCGTAAACACGACTTATCCCAATTGCTGGTAAAAACGAGGAGCAAGGCAGTCGGATGTGGGCTATTATTTTCTATTGTATTTGAATATGCACTTACAGAGTTGCATCTGTGGTTTATGGTAAGTCGGATACATTAACAATGCAAGGGTTTTTGGTTTATGGCCTAAATATCTCATCACACAATTACCACCTTATGAGAAGCAGTAGTTCGTTTTTTGATTGCTGAAGCTACAATGCGAAAGCGCTGCTCAGAGCATCCTCTTAAAGGACTACTGACAGAAAATTAGGAAACTGAGATGCTTGTGTTGTTTGAATGAACCAGCATGCGGGCCCACTTCTGACCAATTATTAGTTGCAACCATTGCTCATAAGATATTTAAAAATAGTTTACAGTAAGGGTGCATGCTCATCAAAGTATTCAAATCCAATCGACATTCTCTGTGGTTGGACGTCGACAAGGGCCATCGCGTAACGTTGCGGAGGTCAAGCAAGTATTGTTGGTGTCAGAGGACATTTGCAGGACACGCATAGTACCCAGACCTGGTACCTAGCGAGGGCCATTACACGTCACCCCCTCTTGCTTTCTTGTTAGATGCTCTCAAGGTGGTTTTGGCAGCACATGCCAGAAAATGCTTTTCTTATTTATGAGGGGGACACACTCGAAGCACACACATAATTTCATTTTTCACCACTCGCGAGTCCCCCTGTTTGAGAATGGCACATTCCGTGTCCATTAAGTTTCAACACACATAGCCTCAGGAGCTGGCCCACTGTGGGGCACTTGTTTCTTACTGTATTTAGGCAGGCCTTTGGAACTTATGCAAAATCGCTCTGATTAATGATGCTAGCATTAATAATTATGTGCAATATAATGCATCACAGTCTTTACAATTCAATTTCGGCATTACTATACTCAAAGCTACAAGTTACTGCAAAAAAATTACCAAGGAGAACTTTTGCTGTCAGGTGTCTATTAACCATAGCACCAGAAGTATTCCAGGTATTTTAAATGCACAAGTGAAAATTTTGAAAATCAGCAAACATGAATGCCACTATAAAAACATGAAAAATACACTTTTTCATTTAGCGGACCCATCTTTCAGAGTGAAGGCAACTGTGTTACTGGCCTGGTAGCCACCCGGAATCAAGGATCGTCGCACAACATTCAGCACCACATAGGACAGTGATGTGCCCAAGTACTGGTCTGCTGCTAAGATGGTGCAGTAGCCACCAAGTAAGGAGCAAGACAGCACACTCAACTGCAAAATAAAAATAAAAGGGAGACAAAAAAGCAACTTCAGATACTGTGGATAACCTGCAGGGCATAAAGCAAAGCCCAGTGACACCCTACTATTTGTAATACAGCAGTACTGTCTATAGTAAAGCATTTATGGACCCTTGCTTCATTGTAACCAGTTCTTTTCCAAGTGTAAGCATTTCGTAATTTCTATGCCCATTATG